TTTTTTCAAATATTTGAAGATGTATATCAAATTTCCTCTAATGGGTCTTCTCAAAGCTAAGAATCTTCAGTTCTTTCAATGTCTCTTCATGGGATTTGGTTCCTGTCTCCTAATCATTCTTACTGCTTGTTTCTGAACTTGTTCCAGTCTGAACATTTTTTTAAGTATGTGGTCCAGAGATGCACGGAATATTCAAGATGGGATCTCACCAAAGTAAAATAAAATCATGGGATTATGTTCTGTAATTTGGAAACTATACTTCCCCTGATGCAACCTAAAATTTCATTTGTCCCTTCCATAATCATATTATATTGCTGGTTTATATTCAGTTTGCAAATAAATTATTCCAATATTTTTTCCCAAAGGACTATTGTATTATCAAGCAAAATACCATGTACCATATTCTGGTAAACCTGTTTCCTAAGTGAAAAAATTGAATTTCTCTCTGTTACATTTAATTCTGCTATTTTCTAGTTAATTGAGATATATTTCTCACTGTTTAACTGTTGACTCTTTCTCTCAATGTTGTGCCATATGCAAAACCGACAGCTCCTTCCAGTTTGATGAGCAAGCAAGAACCAATGATGAGCTATCTATCTACTTGTTATACCATATCAGTTCATGCTTCACTTGAATACACTTCCTAGCTACCTATGGGGATCTAAGGAGCCCTTAAATGCAAAGCTGATGAAAGGTGTGTTCACTCTAGCATTTTTTCATACTATATGCTTCCAAAGGTCACAAAGAAAAGGTCACATTTTTTTCACCACTTACCGTATTTTTCAGAATATAAGATGTACTTTTTTCAACTAAAAAAAGAGGGTGAAAATCTGGGTTCGTCATACACTGAATCTGTATTCATTTTTAGCCTTCCAAAACCCCACCCACTTTGCAAAAATGGCCATACATAGCCTTTAGGAGGCTTCCAGAGTGCTCCTGAGGGGTGGGGAGGGCAAAAATGAGTAAAAAACAGGACATTTTTTGCTCGTTTCTGCCCCCCCCCAGCCCCAGAAGCACACTATAAGCCTCCTAAAGGCTATGCATACATTTTTTGACAAAAAAGGAGCCATTTTCACAAAAAAACAGGCCATTTTTGGGAGGTCTACAGCGTGTAAAAACTTTTTTTTAAATTTGCCTCTTCAAAATCTTGGTGTGTTTTATACTCCTGTGCATCTTATACTCCAAAAAATATGGTAATCTAGACATTGTGAGTAAGAGGAAAAATAAGCCATTTTTTAGTTTTTAAACCATTCAGCTTTTTCTGTAATGTGGAAAAATAACAGGGGCATCAGATGGATTTCTCTTTGGTACAACAATTGGGCAGTGCTAGCTTCATGCCAAGCTACAGTTTGTTTAAACAGAGTTTACTAAATAAACACAATGTTAAATCATGATTAAAATATTAATAATTTATGTAGTAATATAGCTTGGCTGCTTTTTGCTTAATACATTGAACAGGATTTTAAAAATACAAGAGCCATGCTCAGACTTGGCAGTTCCACCTCTCAATTCCTGGCAAATAGATGGGGAAGAAATGGAGTGATATATTTTATTTTCCTGGGCTCCAAGATCACCGCAGATAAGGACTGAAGCCAAGAAATTAAAAGACTCCTGGGAAGGAAAGCTATGGCAAATCTAGACACCATATTAAAAGGCAAAGACATTACCCTGCCAACAAAAGTGCACATAGTCAAGGCTATGGTTTTTCCAGTTGCAATGTAAGTTGTAATGAAAGTTGGACCATAAGCAAGGCTGAGTGCCAAACAATTAAGGGTTTTGAACTATGGTGCTGGAGAAGACTCCTGCAAGTCCCTTGGACTGCAAGGCGATCAAACCTAGAAGAGATCAACCCTGACTGCTCTTTAGAAGGCCAGATCCTTAAGATAAAACTCAAATACCTTGGCCACCTAATGAGAAGGAAGGACTCACTGGAGAAGAGCCTAATGTTGGGAAAGATTGAGGACAAAAGAAGAAAGGGATGACAGAGAACGAGGTGGCTGGATGGAGTCACCGAAGTAGTAGACGTGAGCTTAATTCTAGAGGATGGTAGAGGAGAGGAAGGCTTAGAGGAACGTTGTCCAAAGGGTTGGGTGGGTCGGACACGACTTTGCAACTAACAACAACAAAGCTTCACTAAGGAATGGGATTTTCCAAAGTCTGTTCACTTTAGCAAGTTTTTCAACATACTGCATAATGGCAGCCACTATGATAGATTCGGTAAACCATAGTTAAACCATGACTTAATTAAATGTGTGGCCCAAATTTAAAATCATTGAATTTGCATATTCCTGCCAATTATTTTCTAACACCACTGAATGTAAACTTAACTTTTAAAAATTAGTTTTATAATTGCTTTTTTTTTAAACTGCCTTTGAAAAAAACTCCATCCTTGGCAAACATTTATCACTTCTAATATACACAGAGAAGCCAACACTAGAAAATTTCCCAGAACACAATGGACAAAACAGGCTGTAGGTCTTAGCTTTTAAGAGAGCTTGTTTTCATTCCGTGTTTGTAAAAGATGAAAAATATATCTAGCGAGAATAGGAACTGGAGACATACACCTCCAATTCCAAAAATCTATGCCATCCAGACTGAAACAGGCATGTTTCCTAGATGTAAGTCTTGCCAGCTACTCAGAAAACTCTACATGGACACTCCCAAGCAGCTTTATTTTCTGAATGAAGATGCTCCAACAAGGGACAGACCAAAACAATCAAATCCCAGCTTTGCAGAGGTTTCACGTCCAAACTAGTCAATGATGGCCATAAAGATTACTCAACTCTCCCACCTGTAAGTCACATTTCTTACAAAAGTACAGAAACTAGACCCACTATGCATATGTTGAGAAGATACAATTTGAGATTAGCCTCTACTAGCCATAAAATCCCAGCTACTCCTCAGCATATGATTTTATGGCCATGGAGGTTGTATATGTGGTATATCTTGGTAGCAAGCCCTAGGAATCCTCAGGACTCCGTGTTTTGTTTTAATTCTTCTCCAAAGGACATGTTACTTGCATCTGCTTATCCAGTACTGTGTGACCTGCATATATAGCATCTGTAAACAGAAAAGGAAAGCAATAGACTCAAGAAAAATCAGGCAGAGACCTGTCTTTCCAGCCCCCATACGGGTGGTGGAAGTAGCCATGCATGAAGTTAAACAAATATGGTAGAGGAAATTAAAAGCACAACCAACAGTAAAATGCGTCCACAGAGCTACCATCTGTTCAGGGTTTCTTCCCCCCCCCCCTATGTTCATTAAGAAAAAATGTGCAAGCCTCAAAGTAACAGGCATTAACAAAATATTCTGAGTACAGTACTTCTCAGAAATCTAAGGATTATGCAGAGCATTAAAGCACTGCAGCAGCAATAAATTACAACTTATATTAGCACCAAAGCTATAAATACATTCACACCTTCATTAAATTTACTGCTATTAGAAAGTTCATGGAAACGCTTTTAATAAATATATTGTATCAGAGCTGCATAAATACAGTAAACTAGAAGATGGCAATAATGTTCTAAGATACTTTTTTTTTGGCTACTAGTGATGATGATCACATCTTTTTTGCAGCCCAAGTATGCGATTCCTAGATCTTAACTTTGATCTGCCAGGATATTTTTGATACAATAAAGTTCTGATAGAAGTTTGCCGCCCAGTCATTTTTTCCCCCTCCCTTGTACAAATTTGTAAACTCCCTTGGAAAACAAAACCTCCAAGCAGCTACATTTCCAGTACAACCACCATTGCTAGAAAGCACTAAAGCGGGTGTCTGCAAGAGAAACTGGGACCTTCCTTCCCACACTAGGAAAGACTTATATTCTGTTTACTCATCGGTAGGTTTGGGGAGCAGGGCACATGGTAGAGCTTCCCCAGCACGAGGCAATTACACCTAAAACAGCCCTAACTATCCAAGAGCGCCTGAGGCAGGCCGGGCGCTGGATGACGAGGCCGGCATTTTTTTTTCACACCTCTAAAGCACGTGGGAACTCCCCGAGACTTTGTCAGGACAATAATAAACGTCAATTATCGCTAACGAGAAGCCTTCCAGCACTTCTCCTCGGGAACTTCCGTTTCACAAGCCGAAAGAAATAAATTCGCCTCTTTTCGGGATTCGTCTCTTGAAGGCAGCGAACGGGACGAAGCCCAGGGGGGAATCCTCCTATTCCTGCCGGCTAGAGCAAAACTACCGGAACTTCGGTAGCCTCCGCCGAAATTCCCCACTTTCTGAAGTAACAGTTATGTAAAGCTTCCTTGGATCCCTGTAATCTCCTGGCGGCGCTGCGGAGAAGGCGAGGCGGGCCAGCCCCACCTCCAAGCCCCGCTTCCTCCTTTCTCTTATTTGAGCGCCCACCCTTCTCCGCCTCCGCCGCCTGGCAGCAGGCGAAGTCAGCCGCTCTCGGCTTTTCCCTCCTCCTCAATTGCTCTGCGGCTCTGCCACCGGCTCGGAAGTGCAACTCTCGCCGCCTGGGGGAAGGGGGGGAACGGAGAGGGGGGAGGTCCAAGGAACTTTCTTTCCCGGGTTTCCTTCCCACCCATCCACCCCGACTCCCTATCGCCACGCGTGACCCCAAGCGCTGAGTGGTAGGACTCCAAGCTCCGGGTCCATCGGCCCTCCCTGAAGTTGCTCGGGAGCCGCTCACCAGAGGCGAAGCAGGGGACGCCCTGCCGAGTTCGAGGCTTTCCGCCTAGTCCGCTGGTTCGTCCCGACTCTCGGGAACCGCTTGAGGTTTTGCCCCCTACGCTGCATCCTCCTTCCCTTCGGCCTCTTGCACCTGCTGGCTTAGGAATCCCGAATGTCTTTCGGGTCAAACCAGGCGCCGGACCCACCGCTGCCGCCCCAACCAGCGGATGTGAGGGGGGGGGGGTAGAGACAGCGGCGGCAAGGGTTACTGTTACTTTTGCCGGCCCCGGTTAACACCGGCTAGAGGCACTGCAAAGTGTTCAGCCTTTCTGCCCGGCCCGTCTGAAATGTTTCCCACCCTTTCCTTACTCACCCTGCCGTGAAGGTCAGGAAACCGCTGAAATCTCTTAAGGGAGAAAAAGTAAGCCCGCCGCTACCGCCAAGCCGCTTCGCCAACTCACTTAAGTTTTGGTCTCGTCTGCTGCTCGGCTCCCCTTGGGCCCCTCCTCTTGGCAGCAAGTAGTCCACCTGTTGCAGAAGTTTCCTTCTACAACTTTCGCCGCCGTCCCGGGACCCCTAATTGTCAGCTCTCTGTCCCCCTCATTTACTGTCACCTTCTCGTTTCTCAACTTCCTAGGCATACCCAAAAGAGGGCAGCACTCAACCATTTCTGGCTCCGCCCCTCTTGCGTGGATCGCTGGGAATTGTAGTTCAGAGAGTTCCCGCCTTAAATTTGAGCTGTTCTCAGAAAATTCATAGCCTTTGGAGTTCTTTTTTATTATTATTATTCGCCTATTCCGTTTTCTAAGCATCATCCAGGATTTCTGCTATTGGTTCTTTTTTGCATATAAGATAACACTTTTAACAATAGCATCTTGTTCGAGTTTACAAACAATGACATTAAATCCTTCCAACATTGGGCTAAAATTAAGGTGACCAGATTTTCAAATTGGTAAAGAGGGACACCTTTGAGGGGGGTGGTGATTAAAAAATTTTCTACGGAGTAACAAAAATTTTCATACAATGCAAAAATACTATTATAATATTTTTTTATTTCAACATAACTACAATTTACAAATATAAATTGTAACTGTTGCCAAACATCAAAATTTTGATCATGTGACCATGAGGATGCTGCAACGGTCGCTAAGTGTGAAAATGGTCGCTAAGTGTGAAAAATGGTCATCAGTCACTTTTTTCAATGCCATTGTAACTTTAGTCACTAAACCCATACTTATACTTGCTTTCTCATACATGCTTGACAAACCAAAATCAATAGAGAAATAAATAGCCCTGCATTTGGTCTCTATCCAGGAGTCATCCAGTTTAGCTTAGTTTAATCCAAACCTGCCAGGGGAGCCCTTATTGCTAGTGTCTTGACGGTGTGATTAATAAAAGGAGCGCATCACCTACCAGCCAGAGCACGTTGAACACTTTTGCGAATCTCTCAGCATTTCCTTTGTCAATAAGGACAAATTTCCAAGGAATCGTGGAACAAAGTTTCCTTGCTAGCCATCCCCGCCCATGCTCGGTGCAAACAGTTAGG